TGGGGGTGGGAGGGGTCAGAAATCCTACACCCATGGCAAACAAACAAAAAAAAGGAAGAGAGAGAAACCCCTATTTGAAGAATGAGGCCATTCACTGGGGGTGAGGTTAGTGGGGCTGGGCAGATTGAAAGGCTAGATCTTTAAAATGATTGCACCTGTAATGTGTCCGTTGGAAAACGCAGTAATAAAAGATGTGGGGAAGGGTATGCCTAAATATTTTCTATTTGAAGACTATTTGTGACTATGACTATAAAATTCAAGTGCAATTTAAGAAGGTGGCCAACTTTAAGTATTGACTATTAATACCTTTCCTAACCACCTGCCGATTTGATTCTGGAGACTGTAATCTACTCACAGGAGATTATGCCTGGTAGAAATCTCTTCGGGAGACCAGACAACTAAGAAGCAGGGGTACAGGCATACTTTCTTAGCCGAACAACGCCTTTTGACTTTTTACATCAGTTCTCCCCTCTACCTTCCTGCATTAACAGTTTTACCTCTACAGGGACTCAGGGTGGCAGGCCTATCAGAGCCAGAGGAGAGTCGGTGCGATGGGCAGCGGCGGAACTCCGGCGCACATCTTGCCCCACGGGGGACAGTAGCATCTCGCAGTCGTTGCCACCACGCTACGCTGGTGCCTGGTAACGACGCTCTCCGCGCCACACCGAGCGCCAGTCCCTTGGATGCCCAGGAAGACCAGGGTCGAGCGACGCACACGCAGCACACGCCAAACGCTTCCCAGAAAGCTGTGCGCGCGCCTACAACTCCCATCATGCTACGCCGGGAACTGCACGGCTCCTCGCAGGAAATAGGCAGCTCACCCTGCCACCTGTGCACACATTTTTCTTCAATGTATAGTTCCTCGGCGCGCCTCTGGCTGTTTCCCGGAGCTCTTCAATCCCAGAAGCTACAGCACAACGGCCGAATCGCCAAGACCCCCGGGGAGGCGTGGCTTCAGCCGGAAGAAGCTCCTGTTGCCAAGGGAACGGTGCCTGCCAAGGCGCCTGCTCAGCTACTGATGCACAGGCTGCTGCAGAGGCTACCGGTTTTCCCAACTTGTAGAGACGGCTTTGCTCATTACCAGGCATCCTTCCCATGTAGGCGTAGAGAAGAAGGCTGAGGGACCCTCGCACCAGATTTCCATCCCAGAGACCGATACGAGTGGGTCCATTCCTGTTACCAGCTCCTACGCCTTCCGGACTAACCTCAAAAACCAGGTAATCTCCTCAACCCTGGTTTAAAGCCAGCGCCACCCTCTGCCCCCGTCAGTTTTAGAATTCCTCTTTGGCCTTTCCTATGTTTTTCACACCACGCGCGTAGTTGTTGCTAATGTATGAGAAGTAGAAAAGAAGGTGAGTAAGAGAGGCCATAGAAAACTTACTAAACTGGTTTGGACGAATGTTTGTTTGGTTAATGGGTTTGAACAGCGCCCAACTTAGACCCCTGTATTTGGGGTGTATATGTGTGTGTGTGTGTATGTGTGTAAGTGTAATTTAAATTCCATCATCAAAAACTGAAAGCCGAATAAGAATGTTTATTTTGGGTCATAAAAATAGGCAACATTTCAATCAACACTTTACAGAGTTTACTAAGTATCATTCGTGGTGTTTTCTCTGGGCTACCACTGTGTTTCTGCAGCTTACCCTCTAAGCTGTTAACTGTGGATAACATTCTAATTCCTCTGGACTTCTCTGGCAATATGTAATCCTTTAGGAAACAGTCTGTCAGACAATAACCAAGAGAATTTGGCTGGTGTGCAAAGAGAGGGTTACAGTAAGATAAGAAACAAGAAAGGAAGATTGGAGCCAGATTGTGAACAACCTTAAAAGCTATGCTTGGAAGTTTGAGCTTTATTCTGAAAGCCAGTAGTTCTCGATAGTAACTTCACACCAGAAACACTGGGTAGCTTTTAAAAACTACAGATGCCCTGATCTCATTTCAAAAATTTGGATTCAGCAATTGATTTCAGAGTGCAGCCAGGGTTGAGAATCATGGCTATCAGAGTAGGAAGCTGCAGAAAACAATTGTATCTGTCACTGCACACTTAAGACATGATAAATAAACGTTGAGTAGCTTGAATTATCTTTTATTAATTTATGCATGCAGAAAGTCAACTTATGGAAGGAAAATTGTAACTACTTGAAACGTAGAAGTTTAAAGGCTCTATGATAGTTGTTTATAAAGCAATTTCAATAAATGTGATTACCTCATTTAGAAAAACTGCCTCCTCTTCTAAATTGTGTGCCCCAAAATATTTCAGTAACAAGTATCAAGTGATAATCCATGGAAAAGTGATGGAAAGTCACAATACAAGGTACTGTGAAAAACGAATATTCAAGCATCAGGCTTTAAACATTCAGTGCTTTATAGTAGATGCTTAGAGGGGGGAAAATGTTAGAAGTGGTCGTTTTTAAAAAAATAAGTTCTAAATTGTATGAAATGGAGAACAAGATATAAGTATTTATACCAATATGTTTACGCAGTAAATAAAGTGAGTAGTAGCAAATTTTGAAATCAAATGGTATGTGTTAATTGCTTCATGACATCAGAAGGTTAATTTAAAATAGAGTCTACAAATGCTGGTCCTTAAGCTGTAATTTAAAGAAATGGGCTGAATAAGATTTGAATCTCTAATACAAGGAGAAAAGTCGATTGAAGTGGCACAAATGGAAGTACCTAAGGTCAAACTCATCCTTGGGGAAAGACAAACGTGGTTCTGTTATAGGCCTCACCTTTTGGCATGGCGTTGTACCATCTCTTCTCTGCACATCACTGAAATTCAGTTTTGAAATTTCTACCCATAATCATGTCCCAAAAGGCCTAAGCAAAATGTTGACTATGCAACCTCCTTTTAGATACAGTTGTCTTGGAAGCCTCTTATTGATAAAGTTGCTGCAGCCTCACATCCTTCAAGGTATGCCCTTGCCTGAAATTGTATGGAATAAAAAGTATTGAAGAAACTGTAATATGATAGGTTGCTTATGCAGCCTTAGATGGAGATGAGAATAAGTCAATTTAATGAGAATAAAAACATTAGAGAACTGTGAAAGTGACTGTTGTTGAGTAATGGGAAATATTTGGTGCAGAGATGTATTGTAGCAGTCCCTGCAACAGTAGGGGGCTGGAAAAAGGGATCTCCCTGTCCTCCTACCACAGAGTAATGGTTTGGGGAGCAGTGGACCCAAAGTGAGCTCCTTTGAAAAGTTTAGTTTGGAGACCTGAAGTGTAAATTTAACAGTACCTTAGATGAATATAAACAGCCATAAAGTTACCACATAGCAAGTTTTATGTACATAGCAGTTTTATTTGACTTCCAAATACTTCTATTTTTGGATTGCTGATAGTTTTTGTTTTGTTTTGTTTTGTTTTTTTCAGTTTGCATTGGAAAGATTTTTTTTTTTTCGAAGAATCAATACAATTGAACAAACGAAATGAAAACTTTAGGGACACCTTAACAAAGACATTTTTAAGATTTTTAAAAAACTAAATTAAAATCTACAATTAAATATATGATGAAATTAAAATTCTTATTCTATACTAATATGATAAAGTTCTTTTAAAATAGCACTTAGTAGGATGTTTCTGATAAGTAACAGTTAAAAAAACAGATATTTAGTAAAGTTCAATAAATTGAATGTTTGTGTATTTATGCATAACCTTCACAAAGGGATTTATGGTGACTTACAAAGACGTATGTATAGGATAAGGGGAAATAAAGATAAGTATTTCAAGATTCTTTGCTTCTACTGACAGAAAACCCTACTTAAACTGGAAATAACCAAGCAAGCAAAAAAAAAAAAACTGAATTTATTATAACTTCATATTATTACAAAATATAACAATGGGGCTGGTTTCCGATAAAGATTTAACAGTGGCTTAAATGATATAACCAAAATCTCAAAATCTTTCTGCTTTTCAGATCTACCTTCTACTTTCTGAGTTTCAGCATCAGAATACATAAGCCCCATTGCCCATTCACTGTTTCAGATTTTCTGGAAAGGCTACAGCCTAATTTTTCCACATTTTCAAGTATCACAATGCGCAGACTCCAAATGATACTGAGGCTGACCATGTTTGATTCTTAAATATTATAAATTACAGAGAGAAATGTTGTTATTTCCAAGGCATTCTTCTGTGTTGCCACCTGTTATAAGCTGCAAATCTGCGTATCAGTTAAGGCTCCTTTCTGGTAATCAGCTTACACTCTGTTTACTAAGTGTGAAGCTACATTGACATAGTTTTCACACTATTATTATGTGTATTTAAATTATTACCTTTTTAAAATACATTAAATTACATTACCTTTTTAAAATATTATTACCTTTTTAAAATACATTAAATTACATTACCTTTTTAAAATATTATTACCTTTTTAAAATACATTAAATTACATTACCTTTTTAAAATACCTTTTTAAAATACATGTACCAATATTTTCCATAACTTAAGGTGCCTTTGGGTAATATTTTATTTCCTCTTAATTGCAGGTGGTTTGTAAATATTTGAATTACGTTATGGGATTGCTAGACAGACTTTCAGTCTTGCTTGGCCTGAAGAAGAAAGAGGTTCACGTTTTGTGCCTTGGGCTAGACAATAGTGGCAAAACAACTATCATTAACAAACTGAAACCTTCAAATGTAAGTATCTTTGTTAGATTCTTCATATATTTTCTGTCACTAAAGAATATTAATGTGCAGAATTATGTTATATGACATTGAAACCGCATATAATCACATTAAGATATTCTGTTAAACTTTCAGTGCCTTTAAGTGTCCTGAGCCGTAATTTGCAGTGTATTTTATACAGTAAATCTTAATTACTAAACTGGAATATTATTTTCACTTGTCTTTTCTTTCAAAAGATCTTCACAAATTTACTGAGTTTTCTTTTTGATATCATTGCCTTCCTTTTAGTTTCCTCCTTACAGGAGGAGCAAAATGAAGAGAAAGGTGAAACATTTTTAAAGGTTCTATGGACAATTAGACAATTCTCAAAAGTATAGTATGCATATTAGTAATAGTAAGCAAGATGATTTTAACCTACAAGTGTATGAACATATTGTAATAAGTGAAAAATATATAAAGCTAATACATTTAACATGTGATGTATAAGTTAAAGTCTGGTGCATATAAAGAAAGCCTATCTAATAGTGCTTTTCTAATTTCTGGCACCAATTCTTGAGCCTTTATGTTTAGGCAACTCTCCTGCCTTATCAGAAAAACTGACATCCAGATCCAGGGAGAAGTGATTGGATTTCTTTTCTTTTTTTTTTTTAATGGTAATGGTAACAGCCAAGGAGCCACTTGAAATGGGACTTCTTGAAGGGTTTCAAACCTCTGTCACTCAGTTACAGATACAGATACAACACTTGCTCCCTTCCCACACCAAGCTCGAGAAGAGTCTCTTGTAAGCTTGCATCCACTACTAGAACATTATTTTTAAGGAATTAAATAAAATAAGTATAGAAATATACAATGCTCTAATAGGAAATGCCTTGCAAAAAATCATGCCCATCTCGTTTTATAGTAACATTGTCTCACTTTTGTGGATAAAATCAGTTTCTAGATAAGTAGTTCTTTCCTGGACACAAACTAGTTTTTCCTATTAAGCTCTCTTTATGTTTATTTATTATTAATGTACTGAGGTTGCTGGCATTTCTAAACTAAATAGGGAGAGAGGAAGGACATTTTAACCTGATAGCTTTTTTTCAAGAATCTAGTCTTAGCTGTCATGTTTTTAGAGATAGAATCTGTATACCTTTTTCAAAAATTTCAATCTTTATTCCATTCCCCAGTATGCGTGCTCGCATTGGCACATCATCCAGTTTTTATGTCATTTTTTTATTGATACATAATAGTTGTACAAATTTAGGGGTTACATGTGATAGTTTAATACATGCATACAAATCAGAGTCATTGGGATATCCATCTCAAACATTTATCTTTTTTATATGTTCAGAACATTCTAATTCTTCTTTTCTGGTTATTTCAAAATATACAGTAAATTATCGTTAACTATAGTCACCCTACTGAATTATCAAACACTAAGTCTTATTCCTTTATCTAACTGTATTTTTATACCTGTTAACGAACCTCTCTCCACCCCTCTCTCCCCACTACCCTTCCCAGCCTCTGGTAATCACCTACTCTATGTCTCTATGAGATCTACTTTTTTAGATCCCACAAACAAGTGAGAACATGTGATACTTGTCTTTCTGCACCTGGCTCATTTCACTTAACTTAATGACCTTCAGTTCTGTCCATATTATTGCTGCAAATGACAGGATTTCTGTCTTTTTTATGGCTGAATAATATTCCATTGTGTATATGTACCAAATTTTCATTATCCATACATCCATTGATGGACAAAAATTTATTCCATATCTTGGCTATTGTGAAAGGTGGTGCTATAAACCTGGGAGTGCAGGTATCTCTTTGATACATTGATTTCCCTTTTTTTGGATGTATTCCCAGCAGTGGGATTGCTGGATCATATAGGAGTTCTATTTTTAGTTTCATGAGGAAACACTATACTGTTTTCCATAGTGGCTGTACTAATTTGCATTCCCACCAACAATCTATGAGAGTTCCCCCTTTTCCACATCTTCACTAGCATTCATTATTTTTTGCCTTTTTTGGTAAAGGCCATTTTAACTGGGGTGAAATTATATCTCATTGTAGTTTGATGTATGTTTTTCTGATGATTAATGATGATGAGCATTTTTTCTTATGTCTGTTGGCCATTTGCCTATATTCTTTTGAGATATGTCTATTCAGATCTTTTACCCATTTTTTAAGTCAGATTTTTTTTTTTTGCTACTGAATTGAGTTCCTTCTATATTCTGATTATTAATCCTTTGTTGAGTGGACATTTTGTAAATATTTTCTGTAATTCTGTAGATTATCTCTTCACTTTGTTGATTATTTCCTTTGCTATGTAGAAGCTTTGTAGCTTGATCTAGTACCATTTGTCTATTTTTGCTTTTGTTACTTGTGTTTCTGAGGTCTTACTGCCCAGATCAGTGTCCTGAAGCATTTTCCCTATGTTTTCTCCTAGTACTTTGATAGTTTTGGGTCTTAGATTTAAGTCTTTAATCCATTTTGATTTGACCTGTGTATATGGTGGGAAATAAGGGTCTAGATTCAGTCTTCTACATGTGGTTATCCAGTGTTCCAGCATCATAAGACTATCTATCCTTTTCCCAAAGTATGTTCTTGTATGTCTTTTGGGAAAATGAGTTGGCTGTAAATACATTGATTTATTTCTGGCTTCTCTGTTCTGTTCTGTTGGTCTATGTGTGTGTGTTTATGCCAGAACTATTCTGTTTTGGTTATCATGGCTTTGTAGTATAGTTTGAAGTCAAGATAGTGTGGTACCTCCAGCTTTGTACTTTTTGCTCAGGATTATTTTGGCTATTTGGGGTCTTTTATGGTTTCATATAAATTCTAGGATTCTTTTTATATTTCTGTGAATGTTATTGGTATTTTCATAGGGATTGCATTTGCTCTATTAATCTCTTCAGGTAGTATAGATATTTTAACAGTGATAATTATTTCAATCCATGAGCATAAATAGAATAGCTTTTCATGTTTTTATGTCTTCTTCAATTTCTTTTATCAGTATTTTATATTTTTAATTGTAGAGATCTTTGGTTGGATTTATTCTTAAGTATTTTATATTTTTGTAGCTATTATATATGGGATTACTTTCTTGATTTCATTTTCAAATTGTTTGTTCTTGGGGTATATAAATGCTACTGATTTTTATATGTGGACTTTTGTATGCTGAAACTTAACTGAATCTCTTTATCAGTTCTAACAGTATTTTTGGTAGAGTCTTCAGGTTTTTCTAAATATAAGAACATGTCATCTGTAAACAAGGATAATTTGAGTTCTTTCTTTCCAGTACTGATGACCGTCATTTTTCTTGCCTAATTGCTCTGGCTGGAACTTCTAGTATTGTTTTTGAGTAAAAGTGGTGAAAATGAACATCCTTGTCTTGTTCCAGGTGTAGAGGAAAGACTTTTAGTTTTTCTCCATTCGGTATATTAGCTCCACCAGTATAACATTAGTAATTAGCCATGGTTTTGTCATTTATTTGGCCTTTATTGTTTTGAGGTATGGTTCTTCTAATCCAATTTGTTGAGAGTTTTTGTCATAAAGAGATGTTGAATTTTATCAAAAGATTTTTCAACATCTATTTAAATGATCATGTGGTTTTGTCCATGATACTATTAATGTTATGGGCTCGTATATTGATTTGTGTATGTTGAACCATCCTTGCATCCCTTGGACGAATCCTACTTGATCATGGTGAATGAACTTTTTAGTAGGTTGTTAGATTCAGTTTGCTACTGAAGCAACTGTTTGAAGATTTTTGCATCTGTGTTCATCAGGGATATTGGCCTGTAGTTTTCTTTATCATTGTGTTCCTGACTAGTTTCGGTGTCAGATTAATGCCAGCTTTGTAAAATGAGTTTGGAAGTGTTTCCTTCTCTTTACTTTTTGGGATCATTTGAGTTGAATTAGTATTTGTTGTTTAAATGTTTGGTAGAATTCCATAGTGAAGCCATCAGGTCCTGATATTTTCTTTAATGGGAGACTTTGTATTAGTGCTTTGATCTCCTTACTCATTATTGGCCTGTTCAGGTATTTTATTTTTCCATGGTGCAATCTCAGTAGGTTGAATGTGTCCAGGAATTTATCCACTTCTATGTTGTCCAATTTGTTGGCATATAGTTTTTCATAATAATTTCTAATAATCCCTTGTATTTCTGTGGTATCAGTTGTTATTTCTCATTCTTAAGTTCTAATTTCGTTTATTTGGATCTTCTTTCATTTTTTTCCTAGTTTAGCTAATGTCTTCTCAATTTTATATTTTCAGAAAGCCAACTTTTTTATTCTTTGATCTTTTGTATGTTTTTAGTCTCACTTTCATTTATTTTTGTTATGATCTTTATTTATTTCCTTCTACTAATTTCGGATTAGATTTGTTCTTCCTTTTCTGGTTGCTCGAGGTGCATCACTGGGTTATTTGAAGTCTTGCTACTTTTTTTTTTGAGATGGAGTTTCGCTCTTGTCTCCCAGGCTGGAGTGCAATGGCGCAATCTCGGCTCACCACAACCTGTCTCCCAGGTTCAAGTGATTCTCCTGCCTCAGCCTCCCAAGTAGCTGGGCTCACAGGCATGCACCACCACACCCTGCTAATTTTGTATTTTTAGTTGAGATAGGGTTTCTCCATGCTGGTCAGGCTGGTCTCGAACTCCCGACCTCAGGTGGTCTGCCCACCTTGGCCTCCCAAAGTTCTGGGATTACAGGTGTGAGCCACCGTTCTCGGCCGCTACTTTTTTGATATGTGTGTTTATTGCTATAAACTTCTTGCTTAGTGCTGGTTTTGCAGTATCCATAGATTTTGGTATGTTGTATTTCCCTTTTCATTTAAGAAGGTATTAGTCAGGGTTCTCTAGAGGAACAGAACTAATAGGATAGATATTTATAAAGGGGAGTTTCTTAAGAAGTATTAGCTCACACAATCACAAGGCTCCACAATAGTCTGTCTGCAGGCTGAGGAGCAAGGAAGCCAGTCTGAGTCTCAAAACTGAAGAACTTGGAGTCTGATGTTCAAGGACAGGAAGCAT